TAAAATGAATGTGACCACATTAAGACCAAAGTGCTGAGATACGGTTAAATTGTTTTTTAATAGGGGTTTAATGGTATTTGTGTAATTGCCCAAACTATCTCGGTTTGGATATCACATATAGTATATCACAGAAATTCGTCTGGGTGGAGAAAAAGGTAAAGTCTTTAAATAAACATGAAGAAAGTACTCTTATTCAAGTGCATGCATTGGTTACTTAAGTGAACTTTTGAAGCCCGTCGATGACAGACTTCATATTGGATGGGTGTGTATGTGACAGCCGGCCTCAAGTGGTCACTTGAGGAAATGCAGGTTTTTCAACTTCCACAATGGCTTCACTTTTTAACACTGAAGGTTGCAGCTTGGAAGAAAGTCAGTCACAAATTGCATTATGCACATCCAGGTGGTGGTATAGTGCTTATTACTGCTTGCCAACTGTAAACTACAGGTTGTGGCAACTTTCACATGTAGCTCTAAATAACAAAAAAATGGGACAGACTGTAACTTGCAGTCCAGTTGGTTAAAAAAAAAAGGAGAGAAAACAGAAAAGTTTTTTTTTTCTATTGAACCGAGCTTGTAAAGAACCTAAAACTGAAGCACAAACCTCTGTAAACTGTCACACCTCCTCATTTAAACTCATGATGAAGCACACATCGAGGAAACTTCTAACCTGTGCTGTCCTCCTCCAAAAGAAAAAAAAGAACATTCTTCAGCAAGCATTGTTGTGTCTTTAACCAGTGAGGGAGGTTAACAGCAAGCTTTGACTCTGTTTATGTCTTCCCCCCCCCCCCCAGCACTTGGGGCGAATAACACCTTTCATATGTCATCATCCTTTAGGATTTGGCAGCCCACACTCATCCCAGCCCGAGGGGGGATCACTGCTTCGTCTGCACGGATACGGGACACTGCAGAGGGGTAGCAGGGACTGTGAGAGGTACATGATGTTTGCGCTTGCATATCAGTGTTTTTGTGTGCCACTTTGAAGGAGTTTGGTTAATCTCATTATGTGAAACAAGAACGAGTGAGTAACTACGGGTCCTCGGAGGGCACAATATGAAGAGGAATGTGGGTCAGGAGATCACACAGAAACATCAGCTTGTTTCTCTGCCAAGTCAGACCAAACTAGTCATTTCCGCACTTTTCATTAGGCACATTTGTCAGAGTGTGTGTGTGTGTGTGTGTGTGTGTGTGTGTGTGTGTGTGTGTGTGTGTGTGTGTGTGTGTGTGTGTGTGTGTGTGTGTGTGTGTCCACTGGTGTGTGTGCACAAGGAGAACGCCATCCCTGCAGCATGTTCTGTGCTCGCGTGAGATTTCGTTTCGGCTTTCACGCTAGCTACTGAAATCCAGGTCACGTAACACACACATAACTCATCACTAACGTAACCTGTGTGTGTGTGTGTGTGTGTGTGTGTGTGTGTGTGTGAATGCTTATATAAATGTCTGGCTGTGTGTGTACAGTCGGGGTAAAGCCAGGTGTGTGTGTTTGTGTGTGTGTCTGGATTCTACTCCTGTGTGGCTTTTTGTCTGTGTTTCTTCAGGCATACATTCCTGATTGAGTGTAGGTACGTCCGATGGAGGCGTACATTTGGACATCACAGCTACACTTGTAGGAGGAGCTTGATGCTTGCTCTGCCGCCGTATCCATGGCAACCAACCAGACCAGAAAGGATCTATGTCAGGCTCACGTGACAACATCTAAATGGCAGGTTGGGATTGTAAACGTTCATTTAGTGGCTAATGGTGGTCGTCTTATGTCTACTTCATTTAAATAATTGATAAGTAATCTGGAACAGTCGGTTTTGAAGTCTTTAAACTTTATTTACGAGAAAAATTCATTAATTTAACTATCACATACGACAAGAAAAAACTAAGTTGTTCTCTTGTCAAAAATATTGAAAGTTAAGTTTTGAGATACATTGACTTTAAAAATAAAATATTCATAAAATTTTCTTTGGGATTTATGTATTGTGTGTTTTTCAACAAGGACATTTATTGAAAAACTGTAAAAAAAAAAAAAAAAATGACTGGGACAGTTCATCAAAAGCATCTCAACATCTTAAAATGTACATTCTTCAAACACACCTTTGTTTCCTGCTGCAAACATCATTTACATACAATTATGAATATTCTAAAACCCTTTCTTTATAGAAGCCAATAGGAGCTTTGTTTTATGACCACTACTTTGATTCCCTTCTTGTTTTACCATCAGACATTTTCATATTCTAATACCTCATGTATGTTAAATATTTGATCCATATCCGGTTATTTGCTGACCTAGTTTCAAAACTGGTTTCATTAAAGTTCCCTTTAATCTCATTTAATCAAATCTAATCGGTCTCCATGCTGTAAGCCATACTGTCTTTAAAGGTAAAGATAAAACGTTGGAGATATTTGTGCAGAATTTTTTTTTTTTTTTACAAATCCTGTGAGCTTGTTTTTAGCATGTGTTCTTTACCAGTCTGTTTCCTTTAAACCCTCATATATGGGTTAGCTTTGACTTAATGTATTGACTTAAAAAAATGATGCTAAGTATTGACTTGACGATGCAATTGCATGCAAACGAGATGAGTTTTCTGTTCTCACTGGGATAAGATTATCAGGGTTTATTTAGGGAAGAAGAACCGCAGCTCTGTCACATTGTTGATTAGGTGGACCAGACATCTGTTTAGGATCAAAGAAAGAGGACTCCCTTTAGAGATATCCTGGTGTAGAGAGATCCCAAAGTAGATCCAGAATAATGATTATACTTAAACATCATGTATTCTCTGACCTATAAATCAGCCAATATACTGTTGAAATAAGAGGATGTCTGGGCTGCTTGTTGCCACCAATCCCTCGACCAGGTTATGATAAATGGAGGAATCACTTTATTTAAGAGAGAGGGATCACACTTTATTTTGCACAAGAGGTGGAAACTTCTGACTCGGGCTTTAGTTGAGTAAAATATTTGGCTTTCTGCTCTATTTAAACTTCAGGCATTACTACCTATAGCACCTACCTTGAGACCTAAAGGCAAAGAAACTCAGGAGACTTGACTTCAGATCAACATGTGAAAAAATGCTGTTGGTCTCTCTAAAAAACAAAAAGATATAATTCTGGAAATTGGACCAGTGGCACTGTAACTGTAGCTAAAACATTTTAGAGAAAGCTTGCAAGTTAAATATAAAAAAACAACTTTCTGAGATAGAAATGGTTAAAGGAGTATTTGCAGCTTTTTTTTTTGCTCTGCACCTTGCAATAAATGACTCACAAATGAAAGACATCGGCGTTCAGAATAAAAAAAAACATAACATGCATTAAAGCCCGCCACTCCAAAGATCCACCTTTAAACCTGGAAAAAGTGAGCAGCACTCTTTGATGGCTGTTTGATAAGAAGTCGGCGGTGAAAAAGCAGAGTACAAATAACTATGAATGATGCAGGGACTTGCATACAGCCCTGGTAGCTGTGAGCTGTACTGATTTGACGTGAAGGCTTGTAGTTTTGCAGCCGCAGCATTTGTAACCCAGAATCGGTGATGTAGTGATCTGGGTCAGGGACTTTAGATTACAGAACCAGAGTGACATGGCTGCTGCAGAGCTAATATGAAAATGGAAAATAAAAGTAAAACAAACACAGAAAAGCAGCCAAATGCTGTTAAATCTTGCATGTTTCTTTGCTCCACCACGGCACTGAGATTGATTCCTCTTTTAAGCAGTTTTATTCTTAAGGCTATTAAACGCCGCACTAAAGCTCTTTGGACGCTGGAATCGGTTATGAATAAGATCAGGAGAACCGGTGGCCGAGCAGCAGGGAGTGATGAGGAGCCATGGGACTGTTAGCAGGGGGTCACATTCTGTCTGAACAGGGTGAAGCCCCTCATCCTGCTGATTCTCCATCAAATATTCACCAACTCCTGCAGAGTTAACATTTAAACACCAACCGCTAGCAGAGAGGGAAGGCAGAGCGAGAGCTGGCTGGGGGTTGGGGAGGTTAAGGACTGCTCGTAATCCAAGAGCGGAGAGAAGGCCTGCTTCTGTAGGCCAACCCCTCTGGTTTAGGAAATGCCCGTGTGTTCCTGACATTTCCCCGCACTGGAACAATGAAGCGGCGACATCAAAAGATGGAGCTTCAAGAACCGTGTTTGATTCCTCAGACGCTACGGAAAATGAATTCATGGTAGGTTTTTGGAAATGTGGATGTGGCTGTTCCCCGGAGGTATAAAGGGAGGATTGAGACCCTTAAATTCAGGCTCAAAGACCAGGTCTATTATTAGCTCCGTGTTAGCGCTGCCAACTGGAGCGCATGTGTGTTTTTGGTGCGTGCCAAATACATCAGCCGTCAAATAAATCCAAAGAGCAACGTGTGCTTGCCCGCTGATACAGATTATATGAGCACGCACACACACACACACACACACTACTCATAATGGGATTAAACATTCAATTCCATTATTTCGGTGGGGGTGTGGTGTTAAATGGGTTGGGGTATAGGGGCAGTCGCCTAGCTCTGCCATTTAGCACAGCTACAGGCGATGCTGTCCCGACATCTGACATCCAGAAACGAGCATTTGTGCTCCCCATTATGCTCTCCGTGTATTCTAGCTCTCCTCTGGAGGCTGAATGTGTGTCGGAGATTAATTTTGCATATGAATGAGGAGAACGCAGAGGAGGAGGAGGAGGAGGAAGAAGAAGAAGAAGACGAAGAGGAAGGATCTAGGGCAGGAAAGTGGAGCATCATGACCAGGAGAGGAAGAACCTGCACAGCTGCTTCACCTTCATTCATGACTTTCATCTGAGCGCTGATGCACAGACCAGATGACACATGACATGCAACAAGTGCAGCTTTCAGCGTCTAATCCAGCATTGACACCATTTACAGTACTCCCTCTCTCTGGTTTTAACTAATTAAAAGGGATTTCATCTGTACAGTCCCCTTCACATCCGGATTGAATTAGCTTGAATCAGCTTCAAGGGCTGTCACTCAACAACAACAGTGTGTGCACATGTGTGTTTACATTTCTTACCTCTCCATAGTCGGTTGTGACGACAAGAGTTCCATCTGCACAGGAGTTAACCGTGGCGGGAACCAGCTGCTCTTTCTCCTTGACCCAAACACGGGCCCCCTGCATCACAGAGACAAAAACAAAAGAGGAAGAGTTTTAGGTTATATAAAGTTACAAACCCATTTAAGCTCTTAATAGGTGCACCTGTTAGTGAGTCACAGCAAGTTGCTTATGCAAAATCCAAAAGTATGTCGTGTATAATTGATTGTCAGACTTAAAGCAATTCTTGGAAAGACAAGACTGCGGGAAGTCGGCTCTTTAAGTGCGTCACAGAGAATCTCTGATTTACACAGCGGCGACAAGTGCAATAACAAGAAGGTGTTGCACACTAACCTGGATCATTTCACAGAGTTAAAGATACATTTATAATAAATAATGTAGCCACAGCACCTTTACAATGATTTATAAAGCTTCGATGCAAAAACCCTCAAGTTTCACCAACAACAATACATAACACGGCCTGTATGTGAGTGTGTAAGTATGCATGGGTGTAGAGAAGATGTCACAGATGTGATAAATAACAGCTGAAGACTTGAACATCTGGAATTTCTATCAAGAGACGCAACAGAGCTTGACATCTGTGTGTATGTGTGTGTGTGTTTGTGTGTGTGTGTGTGTGTGTGTGTGTGTGTGTGTGTGTGTTACACTCAGGGTCAGAGGAAGTGTGCTCTTCTAAGACCTTCACACACAGGCAAAGCCCTGTTTCACACAGAGTCACTGACCTCTGACCTCCACCCCTTTAAAGGGGGCACAGCATAACAGATGAGGAAGAGAGGAGGGGACAGAAAAGGAAACAACAGAGGAAGAGGAGGCAGTAAAAGTGGATTGAATTACTGTACCCATATGCACTCCCCTTAACTTGTACAGTTTAGTGTTTTGCACCAATACAAACATGTTTAAAGCTCATTCCTACATGTTGGTGCTCAGACCTAACAAAGCAGGAAAGTGAATATTTTCATTGTTTTCTCATAGTTATTATTTCTATAATTCACTGATTTAATGCTAATAAATGCATATAAAACTAGACCTCATTAACATTCCCTGTTTAAATGTATTTATTGAATTTAATAGAAATGTGTTTAAAGCGCCCTGCAGTCCGTCTCGCCGCCTTTCTGGTTCGAGTGCACAGGCTTAACCACGATGTGCTTCAGCTTCACTAGCTGATGTCCTAGTGATGAACTGAGACGACAGATTTGAGTTTGTTGCTCAAACAAACTTTCCAGACATCATTATTAAAGTCTACAGCCTGAGAGGGTGTTTAAGCCCTAAAAATGACTCGGTGACACCAGATGTTTGCATCTGAATGAACTGAGCTGTTAAATCTTTTTTTTTTTTTTTAGCAACAGATGGTCCCTCATCCCCGAGCATTCCCCCGACAACCTCGTTTCCTTTTCTACTCCGTCACATTTTTTTTAAACTCTTTCTCGCACTCTATAGAAAACACACAGACACACTGATGATACAAAAAACTGTGGTGCCCGAGGCTAGAGTTAACCAGAAACCATGCATGTACAAACACACACACACAGTATACCATACATACACACTGCTGGTTGGCTTAAGGTAAGCCTGAGGGCAGAAAATGTCTGAATGCTTTCAGATAAAGAGTTGAACACTTCTGGCTTTTAGCAAACATTAAGCTCTTTTATCAGCTTCCAACACTAAAAGTAAGATTCACAAAGAGATGCACATTGCTGTGTTGTTCTATCCTTGTGAGGACCTCTCATTGACCGCATTCTAACATCGACCTTACTGTCATTACGTGTCCTCAAAAAAAAAGGGATTAAAGGGTTGTTTTTTCATTTCAGTAACATTGGATTCATAAACTGCTGTGAGTCAGATGTCAGTTACACTTTAATGTATGTCTTATGTTTGTTTCTTTTATCCATCATAAGAAGATTCAGTTCAGACCAGACCAAGTGACCAAAATTATTGAGTGCATTATATTTAGGGTTCCAAGTTTTGTTTTATCTTTTTAAAAGTGCCTGTGAGTCAAATCTGAAGACAAAAACACACAATTTTCAAATTTGAAACTACAATCCATACTAAAAAAAATTAAACTGCACGTAAACTGATGACATTGAAATATGGATTCATACGTCCATGTTGCTGATCGGATGAACGTGTTTACTCCACTGACCTAAATATTTTGCGAACAGCAAAATCTGGGATGGTGAACGTGGTAAACAGTCAAACATGGAGCCTGGTGGAGCCTGTGGACTCTACAACTGCATGTTTGCATTATGATGGTGCTGCTTTTATGTTCTCCTCATTTATTTATTTCTACATTTTAGATTTATCCCGTTATGAGTTGCACCCTAACGTCACCCACATTGGGGACATTAAAGTCTCGGCAAGTTGCTAATTCATTCCAATCTTTGCGTGAAGGAGCTCTCATACATTTAGAATCACTCTGAGAAATGAAAAATTCAAGAGCATCCCCCACACTCTCTCTGTTGCCCTCTCCTCAGCAACTCTCTATATTTAGCCCCATGTATACTCTCCCCCCCACCTCTCTCTCTCTCTCTGTTCAGACAGTCAGCCTGCCTCGTCCTTTACTCCACCTCGTCAGCCTGTCAGATTCCAGCACACAGAGCTGTTGCGTTGATGCTTGTGCTGTGATTTGACCTGATGACCACCGTGGCCTGAAGCTCTTTGCTCACAGTTCACTCAGTACTTCACTTCATCCTGCTTTAAATGATCTCTGAACCCCCTTAAACCTCAAACACTGGACACTTTTTTAGCCCCAGCCCTGAAGCACGTCTACACAGTTTCTTCTTATTCTCTCCATAAACCAGAACATATGTTTCGCTTTCTGTCTCACTCTCTTTCTCTTCTTTGAGCGAACTGGCCTGCAGTCCCGGATCGATGTACCTCTCAGGGGCAATGTGCAATCTCAGGGGTAAATGCAGCGTCGGGAAGACAGAGGGTTATAAATGACCTGCCTGCATTACAACCTACCTACACCCACCAACGCCATCATACTCCTCCTCTTTGTGTTCTGCTCCCCCACCCTCCGTCTATTACTGGCCCAGACAGACAGGCATGGTCATGCATAACAACAAACAGTGGTGCTGAAAGCTGCACGGATGCTAAAAACACAGGTTCTCTCTCACCGTCCTGCTCTGTGAAATCCAAACCTCGGGCCTCCAGCTTCGTCCATCACCATTCCGTCAAGCTCCGTTAAACCTGAACCGACCTCAATCGTCACTTTAGCCTCAAACGTGACCTCTGACCTCATATCTCACACCATGAAAAGAGCAGCAAAACGACCTGAACCAGAAATGCCAGCCTGATTTATTTTTTCTTGAACAAGTTAAAAAAAAGAAACAAGTGGGTTTTTTTCAGATGGTTCTCAAATAACAAATAAGCTACATGTTAGATGGTTGTTAGCTTTCACCATGGGACACGATTCTTTTCTGCAACTGATTGGAAGAACGTGCACGTTTTTTTTTCTATCCTGAAATATCAAATGCAGTAGTGTTGCTGTAAAAAAAAAAATCAGGCCATGCAGCTTCAGTATTCTGCAACCAAACCTTTATAGATGTGTAATAGACTCTTGCTGTCTTCTCACATGCACTGAGACATCCTGCCACTGAAACCCGGAGTTGTCTGTATTTGCAAATGTCTGAAGTTTTCTGTGTCAGACAGAAGCAGGGGGAGGGGGCGGGTCTCAGAAGGTAACACATGTAGAAGAAGCAACAGTCAGACTCTATACGACAGTTTTTTTGTCTTCACAGTATCACTGAACGAGTGGTGAAAACATACCAGCGAGCAGAAAAGAAAGACATACAGCTTCATTAAGTGCACAGAGATCCCACCAGTCACACACCAGTGAGGTTATATAAACATCAGCTCCCCCTCTGCAACATTTCCAGGTGGAATCCCACATCATACATCGGCACACCTTGTCTTTACCCTTTCTTATCCATTTGGGTTCACTCATGCAGCTCACCCAAAAAACTATGGGACATGTTCAGGAGTTGTCTGCATGTGTGAAAACATCATATATCCTTTAATAGATTATTATCAAACTATAATCTCTATCTTACAGCTGAGCTCATGAGATGTAGACCTGTTTAGCAGTCTTTTAGGAACGGCAACAAACAAAAAATCTCCATGTGCTTTTGCTTTCAAGTTTGTCTCCTCTTTGATTTTCTAACAATAACATGAATGTAAAGGCTGCTGGCTCTCAAAACGTGGCTGATAGGATAACCTTGATCGTCTCGACGAGGACAGACCAACTCTCAATCTGCATTACCTCCAGACAAAGGCATGACTTTTTTGCAAAAACCAATAAAGACAAGGACATACTCAGCATGAGGGATTGTCTGCTTAAAGCTTCTTCAATCTCTCTGGTTTCACTTTCATAACAGAGAAGCAATAACAGAGCTCCCTGGATTGTATGCAATCTATAAATATTGTGAAAAGTTATGTAAAGCATGTGATCAGGAATTTTTTTGATTAATCATTCATTGGAAGTAAATCATGAGTATCATTAAATATTTCAGCTTCCTTCATGTTTGAAGACCTCTGTGCAAAGCAAATGTAAACAGAGTGGAGTCAATCTAGTCGGAAATTGGGAGAATTATTAAGAAAAATCCTGACGTCTAATAATTTTTCATTATTGGGCTCACTAAAGTAGAGAGCATCCCAAGTGTGTGTGGCCCAGATGCCTCAACAGCTGTGTGTGTGTGTGTGTGTGTGTGTGTGTGTGTGTGTTTGTGTGTGTGTGTGTCTGATAAAGGCCTTGTTTCTGCATGGGCGATCACATGGACGCCCGTGCCATTTGATCGAGGCATCACCCTGAAGACAGAGTCTTATGACCGCCCCCCCCCCCCCACTCCATCTGAGAGACACTGACGCCTCGATGAACACTGACCACCGAGCCAGACTTACATATTAAGTTTCACTATTTAAACTTCAAACTACATATTCAAAAGTCACTCGTGATATGCATCAACAACAACAAATACGATCAGTACAGAAGGATGTATACAAATTCTGATTCTGATTGAGTGAACTCAAATAAGAATGTGTATTCAAGTCTCGTGTTTTGT